CGGACTCCAGTGACCGTTCTTCCATCTTTCCTGTCTCTCCTATCCCCTCAGTTTGTTGTTGCTTCTTCTTCCTCTTTCCTATACCTTTACTTCTACCCTTTTATCCCTCCTTACCCCCATCCCTTTGTGAGCTCTGTGGCGGTGTCGCTCACTGAAGCAGACAATAACGGGGCTCACTTTTCTCTTCCTTTCTCTCAAGAACCACTTCAGGGTGCTTCAATGGGCTGAAGCAAACCAGCTGGCTTAACAGATGGTTGCTTTCGGCGCTGACATTCCCGACAGCTCTTTACGTACTTCTTTACGCTTGCTGAAAGTCCTGGCCAATAGTACCTCTCGCTCACTCTGGCAAGTGTCCTTGAGTAGCCCAGGTGACCGGATGCGGGTTCGTCATGGCAAGCGAAGAGGACGTCGTCTCGCATGTCTCGAGGAACCACCAGGAGGTAAGCACGATTGTTCGAACGAGCGTTCTTCTTGTACAGCACACCGTCTCGTAGGCAGAACGACGTCCACGAGCGGGATAAATGACGTGGTATGATTGCGCCCTGGCCCTCTAAATGATCAATGATTGGACGAATCTCTGCATCATCTCGCTGTCGTTTGCTCAAGTCTGATGCACTAACGGCGCCCAGAAAGCCTTCGTGTTCCTCTGCTTCCTGACTGACGACATGAAGGGGCGCGCGTGACAGTGTGTCAGCGTCTTCATGCTTACGGCCGGACTTATGGACGATGGTGACATCAAATTCCTGCAGCCGCAAACTCCACCGTGCTAGCCGACCTGAAGGGTCACGCAGGCTTGCCAACCAACAGAGCGCGTGATGGTCCGTCACTATCTTGAAGGGACGACCATAAAGGTACGGGCGGAACTTGGTGATTGCCCACACGACTGCGAGGCACTCTTTCTCCGTGGTGGAATAATTTGCCTCGGCACGGGATAGAGAGCGGCTGGCGTAGGCTATCACTTTTTCGATGTCCTCTTGACGCTGAACGAGCACTGCACCGAGCCCAATGTTACTAGCGTCGGTATGGACCTCCGTGTCAGCATCATCGTCGAAATGAGCGAGAACGGGCGCTGATTGCATGCGCTGTCGCAGCTCATCAAAAGCTGCTTGTTGCTCGTTTTCCCAGACAAACGGCGTGTCGTCCCTTGTGAGACGAGTCAGAGGTTCTGCTATCTGTGAAAAGCCATGAATGAATCGGCGATAGTAGGCGCACAAACCAAGGAAGCGCCGGACGGCTTTCTTATCGACAGGAGCTGGTAATTCGGCAACAGCGGCAAGCTTGTCCGGATCGGGACGGATTCCTTCGGCGCTAACTACATGTCCAAGAAATTTTAGTTCTTTATAGCCGAAGTGGCACTTCTGTGGCTTTAGTGTGAGTTCCGCCGATCGGATAGCCTCCAGCTCGCTGCGCAGGCGGTGAAGGTGCTGCTCAAACGTGGTAGAGAAGACCACCACATCATCAAGGTAGACAAGACAAGTCTGCCACTTGAGCCCTGTGAGGACAGTGTCCATCATTCGCTGGAAAGTTGCCGGTGCTGAACACAAGCCAAAAGGGGGCACTCGAAATTCGTATAGGCCGTTTGGAGTCACAAAGGCTGTTTTCTCACGGTCTCGCTGATCTACTTCGATTTGCCAATACCTGCTTTTGAGATCGAGAGAAGTGAAATAATGGGCGCGACGAAGTCTATCCAGCGAATCGTCGATACGTGGCAGCGGATACACATCCTTTTTCGTCACGTTGTTAAGCTTTCGGTAGTCGACGCAGAAGCGTAGCGACCCGTCCTTCTTTTTGACAAGTACGACTGGAGATGACCACGGGCTGTTAGATGGTTCAATAACGCCATCGTCAAGCATCTCGGTGACTTGCGTACGTATTGCTTCACGTTCTTTGGCCGACACGCGGTAGGGGTTCTGGTGTATCGGACGTGCGTCCTCGTACGTGATGATCCTGTGTTGAGTGATGGACGTCTGGCGGATCTTTGAGCAAGTTGCGAAGCAAGACCTGAACTCGAACAAGAGCGCTCGTAGTGCAGTCTGGTTAACGGTGGACAGATCAGGATTGATGTCAATATTACTCATTGACGTGTCGGCGGTATCCACTATTTCCGACGTGAAACAGTTGGTGACGTTTGCTACTTCGTGGGCAAACGCTATCGAAGTGCCACGGAAAAGATGTCGATGCTCGTTGCTAAAGTTGGTTACGAGCAATTCAGATCGACCATCACGAAGGTGTATTACACTTCTAGCTACACAAATGCCTTGCTGCAGGAGGTGTTCTAAATTTGTCTCAGCCACCGCATCGCCATCGCCCGAACCACAGCATGTTACGTCGACTAGAACACTTGTTCGTGGAGGAAGCGTCACACTTTGTTCAGAAATACGGAGTACGTCGACACGCCTTCCACCATCCTGCACGTTGATTGCTCGCTGGACTGAGAACGTGACGCGGCGCTCTTGCAGATAAATGATAGCTCCATTTTCTTGTAGAAAGTCAACTCCCAGAATGACGTCACGGGAACATTCGCGTAGAACAAGGCAGCTTGCTACGAATGTGTACCCTTGAATCTGTACTCTAGTTGTGCAGGCACCCAGTGGAGTAACGACGTGGCCACCAGCTGTCCGAATCTGCGAGTTATGCCACGGCGTGATGACTTTCTTCAGCTGCGTTGTCAGTTTCCCGCTCAGTATGGAATAGTCTGCGCCGGTGTCCACTAACGCATTAACTGCACAACCATCAATTGTCACTGCTATGTCGAGTGAAAGTCGGCCATCCTTTGCAGCAGTATGTGATGTCGGACCGGTTTCTGTACAGTTCTGCGTCCATAGGAGGTCTTCAGCGCTTCGACGTTCAGCGACCCCGCCCCCAGAGGTCGCTTTGGCTAGTTTTCCCGGCGGGGGCTGGGAGACCGTGTGGTAGAATACCGCTGGGGCGTTGATGAAAATCGCCTCGGTGATGGCGAGCGCGACTGGCGCCCGGCAGATGGTGGTGCATGCTGCTGGGAGAGGTAGTTTTTGATGTCGCGCGGTCTCTGGCCGTAACGGGGTGGCGGTGAGTACGCAGAGAAGCCGCGAAGCCCAAGACGGCGATATGGGCACTGGCGGTACAAGTGATCAGCTTCTCCGCAGTGAAAGCACAGAGGCCGGCGATCAGGTGTGCGCCAAACATCAGACTTTCGAGGAGACGTGCGCCGATCGTCGATGTACTGAACTGGTTGCACTGAACGATGGGCGACAGAAGCACCAGGGACAAAGGCCAACGGTGGTGGCGTGTACGTGCCTTCGCAGTACGGTATGTGCTGCGCTGACTGTAGTGAAACAGCAGGAACAGGATGGACGAATAATGGCGGCGTTGCAGCAGGGCGTTTCAAGGCTTCCGCGTAGGTTGTCTCACGGCGGTATTCAGCAGGAGCTGGCACAGCTGTATCATGAGGCAAGGTGTCCCGGAGGGCCTGGTGCAGCTCATCCTTGATCACAGTTGCAATAGAGTTGACTGTAGGATGAGGTGTTACACCAGCCTTTTGTAACTCTTCACGTACTATATCACGGATGAGTTCACGTAGACAGTCGTTGTTGGTTCTAGTGGCGGTGAAAATGTCGGCAGTAGACATGCCACTGACTTGCCTGTCGTATTGGTTGGATCGCTGCTGCAGCATTTTTTCCATTGTCACGGCTTCAGACAAGAACTCCACGACCGTCTTCGGAGGGCTTCGCACGAGGCCGGCGAAAAGCTGGTCCTTGACACCACGCATCAAGTGACGCAACTTCTTGTCCTCCGTCATTCTTGAATCGGCCCGTCGAAAGAGGCGCGTCATGTCTTCGACGAACGTGGTCACAGTTTCGTTTGGCAGCTGGACGCGGGCCAGAATAGCTCGTTCAGCTCGTTCTTGGCGATCAGCACTGGCATACGTCTGCAGAAGTCTACGAGAGAATTCGGGCCACGTCGTCAGCTGTTTCTCTCGGTTTTGATACCACGCACGTGCCCCGTCTTCGAGATAGAAGTAGACACGACCCAGTTTCGCCGCGTCGTCCCACTGATTCAGGGTGGCTACGCGCTCGAAATCCGCCAACCAGTCCTCAACGTCCTCGTGCTCCGAGCCATGGAACGTCGCCGGTGCGCGTGGGCTTTCCAACGTGTAGCGGTTCGACGTAGTGCTTCCCGTGCCGGTTGCCGAGGTTTGCACCGAAGCGCTGGTCATGTTTGTCGACGTGGTGGGAGCAGTATCGTCGGCTTCCGGAGGCAATCCCCTGATTCGGCGGCTGGTCCGATGCACGGGAGTATTGACTGGCACTGGACTCGTATCGCGGCTTCCTGGGGGGGTCTGCAGCATCCGTGAGACTACCCAGCGCCTCCACCAGTTTGTCACGATGAGTCACAAGTACTGTGGGATTTATTAAACCACCAGGTAGCTAGCACTAGGACGATGCGTCAGTCGTGGCTGGCTCTCGAGCAAAGAAGAACGCGATCTTCTTTTTTCCTCCAGATTTAGAGCCGCTCTTGCTGCCAACCCACTACGTGCTGGCGGCAATATGACATCATTCCGTGTGAACAGTCTCTCTGATGGCTACTCTGACGGTTGGTCTTGCCTCGAGTTCGCACGCACAAGAGAAAATGCGGTAAAAAGTTCGTCTTATTATACTGCCTCATATAAACCCAAGCTCCGTTTTGCCTGCTCGAAACCTAGGGTTGGAGCAGGTACTATGCCCAAAACACCGCGTCTTCAACTCCAAACCCACTTCAAAGCAACTTTTTGCCTGTTTCAAATACAACATTGGCTGGATCACCGCTTAACGTACCTCTTAGACAGTATTCCAAACAACATGATATGCAAATGTCTGCAGGGGCTGAACCACGAGGTTGGATTAGGGGACGGGATAAGGAGTGGGGAACTAATTCTGACTCGCGCATTGAAGTACGTATTGCCGTAGGCGACGTCTGCCCGCAGAGCGTTTCCCTTGTCTTTGTGTTAATGCCTGCTTGAATAACTGACTTGCAGGTTAAATCATGGGCGACGAGGAGGCGGGCGACAAGGAAAAGGAAAATGGAGCGGGTGACAAGGACGATGATGACGACGACGATGATGCCGGAGGTGACGACGGAGCACCCAAGGGAAAGAGGCCACCGGACTCCATCATGGTGCAGCGAAAGTCCGCCAGAGGGTGCGCAACTGCATGTTACTGTCACAAGGGGGGGGGGGGGGGAGTTATTCTAAGTGAAAAGAAGAGAAAAGTGAACCCCTTAAGTGTCTCTCAGGGAGAAGGCACCTAAACAGTAGCTCAATAGGGAGGGGGGTAGAGAAGGGTGTAAAAGGATAAGATTAAAAGGGAAAGATATAGAGAGAGGGGAACAACGGCATATGCTACCAAATGATATACTGTATACTTGCAACTTATGCGTAGTTTTACTGCATGTACTACGCCACAGCCTTAAAATTTTATGCAATTATTTGATTCTGCCGCTTTTCAAGTACTTTGAAAACTAACGCTGCGAACTTCATATTTTAATGGCATGTACTACAACTTATTTGGTGAACTGCAGAAGACAAAAGTTCTTTTTTTGGGGGGTGGGGGGGGGGAGAGCTTCACAACTGAGCAACCACGTTGCTTCTAAACTGGCGGATAAATGTGTAGGTTGCAAGAAGTTTCATACAGGCAGAAACATTTAATTATGCGCTATCTGTGCGAGGTTAACGAGAATTCACAATTTCTGAAAACCTTGAGTCCCGGACACGTTTATCTCCAAATGTGTACAAGTAACTGAATAAAAACTTGGAGAATGTTTATATACGATAGCGTTATCGGGCCCAGTCTGCGCCGCTTTCTCATACATTTGTCGTGATTCGTTTCTCAGTAAGTACCTCGACAGTGCCGTGATTGTGAGGAAATCAAGGACGCCTGTAATCGAGATATAGGCCCTTGTGGTAAAATTATAAACGGACGTACATGATAGAATATATGGCAGCATTAATCAATTCACAAAGGGGATAACCGGGAAATTCTTACAACATATAACGAGCTCTTTAAAAATTTCTACCTGTCTAGACGGATTTTCCCTCCACCTTACAAAAATCTAACCCGGCCCCAAGCACTTATATTAAGGCTTTTGCAAACGCGGATGTACCCTACTTTGAAAATGTTACACATTATGTACCCTGACCTATACCCAAGTAATCTTTGTCCACATTGTGGGGAAATAGCTTCATTAGAACACGTGCTCTGGCAGTGCACCGAATTCGCTCATTTATCGAACATCACCTTTGCCAGATGGGAGGCGGCAATCCGCAGCTCGTCCTTGGCAGATCAGCTCTGGGCTGTCCACCAAGCCCGCGAGGCGGATGAGGAGCTCGGCATCTCAGTCCCCATGTGGGAGCTGCCCGCAACACAGTGATCTGTGTTTTGGAGTACCAAATGAAAGTTTACCCAATCCAATCCAACCAATTCACAAAAACCTCACTAAATGAACGTTGTTCTTTTGTGTCAGCTAATATGGCCGAATTTCGCAATGTCTTTCGTTTTTCACCGCCTGTCATCTTTGCTGCAGCGAGGTAAAGCAAACGAACGATGGACCTATAGGTAATCATTCAAGCTATAGGTCACTATAGGTCTATCAGATTAGACAAGCGAACGAGTGCCTATACCACTGTGGTTCTGTCTTTTTTTTTCTATTGAGCAAAAATCTCGGAAAGAGCAAAAGTCACGGTGTGTTCTGTGACGACGCAGGAGCCAGAGCAGCGCGGGTTCCTCGGGTAAGACGGACAGCGACGCCAAGTCTACCGCCTCGATGATCATCACCATCGGAGGCTTGCTCATATTCGCCGCCGTCGTTCTGGGTGTCGTCGGCTTCATCGTCTACAAGATTACGCAGTGTGAGTTACACTCTCAGAGTGTCCAGAAGCGCACATTGGATGCCATGGTTCCTTTAACGGAACGTAGAAGCACAGAATGCACATGAACGTGGCATGGGTTTGCACTAATGTTTGTCTATAGCTGCCCTTGCTAGGATGCACAAGTTCTACACCCACCGACTAACCCAAATCACTGCGTTGAATATTCTACGTTTGAGGTATTGTTGCAGAATTACCTTAAAACGTGAATTCTTCTAGAAGAAAACCTACAAATTACAATTATCCTCAGAAAGTAAGTAAGCTCTAGGCGTAGGTGGCAAATAGCAGGTTATATCGAGGACTGCAATTTTTAAGTTTCATTTGAGAAGCTCACAGTGACGAGTATCCTTGCGCTTTTCTTTCCGCCTCTGTTGCAGCCGGGGAAAGCGACGTGAACGAGAGTACCAGCACTGGCGGAACAAGCAAGTATATCTCTGCATGATTCCTTCAAAGACAGACGGTCCCTCTGTGCAGGCTTGAAAAACAGAAAAACAAAACGTTGCTTGATATTTGGGGTTTAACGTCCCAAAACCACCATATGATTATGAGAGACGCCGTAGCGGAGGGCTCCGGAAATTTCGACGACCTACCCGAATCTGAGCACACGGGCCTACAACATTTCCGCCTTCATCGGAAATGCAGCCGCCACAGCCGGGATTCGATCCCGCGACCTGCGAGTCAGCAGCCGAGTACCTCAGCCACTAGACCACAATGGCGGGGCAAAAAAAAATTGTTCAGGGTCGTATTTACAGAAAAAAAAAACGAACTACACCATCTCCAACTAAAGGGACGAGTAGCATGCAAAGCATCGGATGGGTCGACCTATTAAAGTTCCGTTCATCGCGGGCACTGTGCCCGATATTAACGCGTCCTGGCAAGTGGAGCACACCATCAATTCACTGTAGCTTCTGTTGCTGTTAGTGGTCCCGAACTGTTATTGGAGCACACTACGCGTGTTCATCGCCACGCCACACGGGAGCATGCACGTCGGTTCATCGTGCTTCTGCACAATCTCGTTCCCCCCCCGCCGTCACGTGATTGCGGAGAGAGTGTAAGGGGGAGAGGCCAGACCCTTAAAACGGGCCGGCGGAACACGCTGGCGCGTGAGCGCGTTCTGGCAGTGTCTGGCACAGCTGTTGCACATGCGCAGTAATGGTGGTCACGCCGCACACCGGATTGAACTTCGCCATATAAGCTGCTTCGAATCCAAAAAAAAAAAAAAGAAGATCGCCTGTTGCTCACGACTGACAACTTGTCACATATACATGGGTTTAAAGTAATGAGCCTGGGCTTGCTGCGACTTCCCCCGAGATCGTGACAGCCTGTTGGATGGCGGGATCACGGTAGAAACTGTTAACGTTACAGGAGTCTGATAAGCTTTGGGAACAGGAAGGAGTGTGCCCGGTTCGCATCAGGGCTGTAGAGCTAGTTATATGAGGCTCTCTCAAAGACGTCGCGACAGCTGACATACTGCGGGGGCCTCTGCAGAGCGGTAATCACGTTGGCAACGGTGTATCAACGCCAAAGAAGACTATCATGAATACGTTTTAATAATATGTACCAATGTGATCAATACATACATTTCTTTTTTACCAGATCTACACTCATTACCTGACGGACAAATCATGTATATCTGTTTCAAGATGCACCTCAACCCGCTTTCTTTTAGCCACGCACCACGACTCTCCGAAGAGAACCCAATATTTCCCAAAACAACAAGTCAGAACTTGACATGAAGCGGACGGGCAATGAACTTTTACTTCTTATGATTGAGTGCAGTGCCAGAATAGCAAGAGGGCTATTCAGCCTGACAAATGTTACATATAATGGAGCCGATTAAAGCATATAGGGGCAGCTATTTGCGGATTTTCATAAATCACCTCTCATTTTTCTCGTTCGATGTAGAAGCGTTGTCAACTATCACGTTCTCAAGGTATCAGTTTCTAAGGCACTATCAACGCTAACACGAAAGGGAAACAACTGAAGTTCCTTAATGGGCGCTTACAAAGTGATGCTGCGCTGACACACTTTTGCTTGAGTATTGCAAATATCGGTATGTATGTATGTATGTATGTATGTATGTATGTATGTATGTATGTATGTATGTATGTATGTATGTATGTATGTATGTATGTATGTAGTATGTATTATGTATGTATGTATGTATGTATGTATGTATGTATGTATGTATGTATGTATGTATGTATGTATTTGAGAGAGAGAGAAGTGAGTGACCAGGTGTTGGTCACAATACTACGAAGCCAACTGATAATGAAGAAACGGACTAATAATAGTAATAATTGTCGGGCTTTAACGTCCCAACGCCACTATATGAGAGACGTATCGTGGTGGAGCCGGGCTGCGGAAATTTCGACCACCTGGGGTTCTTTAACGTCCACTGACCGGCTCTGACCGAATCCAAACCGCGGTTTAGATTCGAGCCCGCGACCGGCAGGTTAGCAGAATGATGAAAAGGAAATCATGGGTGAAATTAGTTGTTTTCACCTGAAAAGTAGGAATGGCAAAATAAGGCCACTAAATGTGTACAAAAACAATTGACCATCGGTGGGAGCCGAACCCATAACTCACGCTAGTGTAAACCTTCAAGATAATTATCACTCTACGGAGGAGTGTAGGTATGCAGACACGGTCATGGAAAAAGAGAACGAGATCACACAAACACCGTTCCGATTTCGATCACATGAGATATTGTCTAAATGCGTCTAAGTGTGAGCGCTCCATCTGCGTATCACATTAATCTAAATGCGCCTGTCTGTTTGGACGTGTTGTATCATGTACCGTCGACGTCAAATGAAACGCGAACAGCGGCAAGCTTTAGCTATGGTATAGTGCGCGCCGCCGAGGTTTATACCGCCATGGACATGGGCAGTGCTGCAATACCGCAGGGTTGGACGCCTTTCGATCGCTAGAATGATTTGCGTCTGGGCTAGTTGGTGATCTTGCATATCGAGTGGTTGCAGCTAAAATTAAACGTACACACGAAGGAATTGTGGTTCATTTGTGATGACGGCGCGCACTCAGATACCACTTGTAATGCTTGCCGCTGTTCGGGTTTCACTTTACGCTTTTTGTACGTCACTGATAAGAAACACGAAGTTAGAGTCTCATTTATGCCTTTTTCTCTTTCTCTCTCTTGCAGCTACAGAAGCGGGGAGCAATGGTAGCGTAGACGATGGTGGTGACTCCGTAGTGTCCTTCTTCAACAAGATCGGCGCACAAAAAGGTTAGCGAATGTCAAGTTATGTAATTTCGCGTGCAGAAACCACGCACGGTCTGTTTATGACTCATGCCGTTCTACACGGGAAACTTTGACCACGCAATTCGAACACACGAGTGTTTCTCCACCCATTCCTGTTCGACATCGATCCCACGACCTTCCTGCTCAGCACTGCAGCTATAGCAACTATAGCAAGACGGAGTGATAGTTGATGTCGGTATAGCGAAGCCAGCTGCAGAGACGTGAGCTGGTTGAGTTCGTCAGTTTGTCAATGTAAAAGTTAAGGAAGCCAAGCTTGCCAAACGGATTCATGTAGCTTTACTTTGCATATCAGGGGGCTCTGACCGTTATTTAATTTTTTTATATGTCTAGGCGCGTGAGTGTTCTCATGTTTTACCTCCAACTTAATGCGACAATCATTCTCCGAATCAGGCACGAAAATTCGCACTCAGCAGCCGCAGAACGCATCTGACACTGACCCGCTGCACCGACTTACAGCCTTGGGAACTTGGCCCCTGTAAACGGCACCGCACAGAAACGATGGGCTAGTGGTGTGGGCCTATACAATGCCTGTATGTTTCGGTTCCTTAAATTACGTTTATATACCTCCTTGCCAGCTAGACGGGATGTCGAATAAGAATCTTTCAAGAATAAACTTTCACTTTGTTCCGATTTTTTAAATATATTTGTGGTACTATAAGAAGTGTATACCTAAGGGCTCGTTTTTCCGTGTTTCGACACAATAATGAGATCTAACAGACAATAATGCCAAGGAATGCATAGGGAAGTTATTAGAACCAATGTAATGTAAATAAGAAGAAAGAAAAATGGGTGAAACATTACTTGCATGTATATATGCTTTTATAGAGGCAAACAGCGATATACCTGACTGGAGCTGACCTGTCTCTGTCTCCCTGGACTAAGACGACGGAAAAATAAACTTGCCTAAAACACTTTACTGGGACGACACTCAACTATGACAATTTTGTTTACCGTGGCGTGACAACGTAAAATAAGTTCAGTTACAATAATGATTAGACAAGAAAGCAGCTGGTGTCAAATCTCGCTGAGGTAAGGTGCAACTATCATGTGATTTGACTGGGTAATGACTGACACCGTCGACTTTCACATTGTTGGGGGGGGGGGGAGGGTTGTATGCGCAGGGGTTGGCGCGGAGTGCTGAAACTGGCTTCTGTATTGTGGTCGTGGTGTTGGCGCGACCGCTTTCTTTATAACGCACGTGCGCTTACACCTGAAAGCAATGTCACATTGTCTAAAACCATGTTTACTAACGCGCTGTGGCGAATACTGTGCGCCAAGATTGAGTGATCCTTCTCTTGATGAATAAGAGAAAGCATGGCCTCGAGTGCAAGCCCTGACTGCACAGTTGCTGGCAGTTCGCAGGGTCGCCCGCAGCGGAGCTCAGCAGTTCCTCGTCTTCGCGGAGGCCCCCGAAATCTTGGATGAAGGTGAAGTCCGCTTCACCGCATTACTCGCGCGACTTCTGGAAAGTGATGGCGAAATTTGATTAGCCGTGCACGCACTCGTAAGCTCGCGGTGCTGGACGCCTTTTGGATAATGCCGGTACGTTTATCCACTCCCCCACGCAGTGCCGGCCCCCATAGATAACTACACCGGAGGTAGCAACAGTCGCCTGGACGTGTTGGACAACCTGTGAAGAGGCGCGCCGTTTCGCCGTGTCCTGCTCAACCTGAGGTATACCACGAGCGTCCAGTGCATCGCACTGCGGGTTATCTATGATTATCAGATAGAGATGGAATTAAGCTTACGGCCTTTAGATCACATATTTTTAATTTTTTCGTGCTATCTGCTTTTCTTTGTCATGTTGAACCAAATAATTAGGCCATGGTGTCATTATAACCCCAATAAAATGGAGCCACATAGCCACTACATAGAACACGTCATAATTAGTGTTCAGGGAAGCGGTGCAGTTTGAAGTCAGATGCTTTAATGAACCCCCGACAGCCAAACTTTCCTTGTGACTTTTTAACTGTCATCTGTATAGTTTTGTGCCTGCTAATCACGTGATTGAATCGTAAACGCTCTAACGTATCATATATTTAATGCTGTAGCGTCAATAATTGTGACCACTTTGAGCGTCACTTCGAAACACCTCCATAAATATGTAAGAAAGCAGCGCCCCACCACGGGAAAGCGCCTAAGTGGCGGCGTTAAAAGCGTGG